ATCCACGTGTCATGGACCTCTCCTTGTCGGAGTTGCTGGGTACCGAGTACTGATCTTGATATTTCATCATGGCACGTCCGAGGACAATAGTGCAATCTACACGCACACCATGAAAGGAAATGCACTTTTTTTCTAGCTGTGCTTATTAAATTGTATTTTTATTAAATTTGTTCGTATCGTGGTGGCGCTCTTCGGGAAGGTATGCAACTCTTGGAATCCACGTAGGTCAAACAGAAAATCCCATCCGAGCTTGCAGTCCCTTTAACATCATTGTTACTCGCACTACAACACAGTCACGGTGCACATTCGACTGGCATGTTCACTTTTTGCTCATGTAACACATTCCCCCTTGTTTTATGAGCAAAGAGTATCAAGGGTAAAAAGAGCCCTCTTTCAGCCGTTCTACTATCGATTTGTGTTTGATAATTATAGCGTGCCCTCAGCAGCTATTTGGATATCGATGTGTAAGACATTTTACGTATTTTACCTAACATACTGAAAAACTGATTTCTAACAGATAACGTTGGCAGCTTAGAGGTTAGGAACTTATCAGACAAATGTACGGTGAAGCCGCGACCAAAAAATAAATTTTAACGAGTTAAAAGACATCTTCCTCTACTGCAAATTGCTTACACATAAATAGAATGCAAATGAAATATACAAAACCGATGACTTTTTTATCATAAAATCACAGACTCCAAAGAAATCTCCTGGAACAGTCAGCAAAAGGCACATTTCGAGGTTAAAAGCTGACTTCTACTCTTAATGGCAATTTCAAACTTTGGATTGGAGCGAAGTTGCAAAATGGACGCTTTCATACTTCATAGGCTGGTTTAACCAAGAAAGTTGATGAAATTTTGATTGTACTCGATGCTTATGTAGAAGCGATGAAAGCGGGGGAAGGTGTGGGTGTACATTGGAGATTACCGACTCATCCGGGAGAAAAGCATGTGCCGTCAGAGTGTGTACACTTGGCATCAAAGTTGCCACATCACTGGCTATCGTCGGGGAACGCCTTTTTTCTTTGCTTACTGATAAATGCAGCCCTGGTACTGATGATGAATGTGATGATAACATCACGTTTCGCGTATTTGAAACATCGAGTTTCTGGGCAAATAGAGCTTCACGACGAAGTTTCGCCTTGATGCTACGATATGGCCAGCGATACCGAAGTCGCTGGCAGTTGCGCTTGAGCGTGATTGGAGCCACACCGAGCAGTTTGGCCGCATCATCTTGACGATAATGTGAGTATTCTTGTAGTATTTGAATAGGAAAGTCAAACTTGCGTCGACTCTTGCGCACGGGAGAAATCTCAGCTTCCGTCTTGATTGCGGACGGCGAGGATAGTGGGGTCCAAGTCATTTCAAAGCGCGAAAGGACTGGAAGATTGCAAAGTGATAGAGGTGCTTTAAACAAGAGCTTGTTAGCGCATTAATGTCTGTACTAATTTCCATGGGCTCCGACAGGAGTTTGCAAGCGATGCGTTTGGTTGTGAAATTTTTGATGGTAGAGACAGAGGTCCATTGCAGTTCCATGCAATTGGAGCATTTGTGGGGACGGATCATTGATCTGTTAGCTCTGCATTCAACCTCGTTCTAAAATTTACCCAACACCATGATCTAGTGTTGTCTTGTGGTACATCGAACCTGTTACGCCAAAGGAAAACGATAGGGTTATCTGGTGGCTCACTAAGGCAGTCAGTCACTTTTAGGTGTCACTTTGTCCGTGATTGGCGAAAGAGTCTAGCATTTTCAGTAAGAAGTTAAGAGCGTGGTTACGTTGTCACCTCGATTCAACGAGGAGCACAAAAGCTACTTATTATTAATTTCAGGACCGCTACATTGGTCATCAATCTGCGTCTTAGTACCACGTGGGACCTGCTTTACTCAAATTGAGCTCTAGTTTTATTGAAGTCGAGAGCTTGAGTCATACGGCGTCATACAGATGCAGATCAGAAGTCTCATCTCAAAATAGAGCCCAAATTGTTTTAAATTTATCTCTTTTCTGATCATGAAGAGCAAGCATCAGCTTTAATCAGTTGAAAAGCTTTAGCATGGCTGTCTTGCGACGCAATCTTGGCCAAGCATCCGATTCAGGTCGAGGGCGCAGTGGCTCAACAATATGGGAAGATGAAGCTGATGAATATTGGAAGAAAATGGAACCAACGAAACAATGTCGACGACTTACCACCTATTTTGGAAGATTTGTGGCCATAGTGCTTATATGTGGGGGTGTCTTTTTTGGTGCTCGTGTAGCACTAGATCACGATAGTATCACTAGACTTAAAACCAGATTTATAGACGTTATTGCCGACGCCCAAAAAAACGTCTCAAATGCTAATGAAGCATTCACGACAACGTCAAAAAGCATGGAAGAGATCCAAGTGACGACAAAGTTGGAAGTTTCTTCCACTAAAATGGATCAAGAGATCTTGCGTGGAAGCTGCCGAGTGCGCGGAGTTCAATCCAGTTGGCATCAGGAAATGTGTAGAAAGCTTTGCACGCGGTAGGCTTTCAAGAGGCCTCTATATCATCTGACTGTTTATAAAGCTAATATTTGATTCTGGTGCCTTGATTAGTGACCCACATAACGCTGCATGTATGAATGGGTGCTCATATGGCTCTCTCACAATGACCAAGGTGGTGTGCGACAAGATGGAGGCAACAGAGGCCGCATCAGCCTCGCGTTGCCCAGACGGCGTCAGCTGCTTGGAAGCTTGTCGGGCCTACGATGATCAACTGCCTTTCCCAGATTTGCGTAATTCATGTGTCCGCGGCTGCTCCAATATTGTGCCCTCGGCTTGCGCTCGTTCATTACAGATTTACCGGGATCTTATTCAGAATATGCCTTAGCAATTTAGAGAAAATTATGATGCACAATTCGAATTGTTGGGTGTATTCGCCAGACCTGATTCTAGAGGCTTACTTTAAATCCTATTGTGATCATAGAATTGCGTTGGTCAAAGACATCGGAGCCCACACGATTGAGGTGGGATTTGTGATACATCGCGACTACAATTACCGAGTACAAATGAAGTGCTAACAGCGGTGATTCTCTCTTTTAATCATTTGGCTAAAATAGTGAGTTCTGTGATGGGACCCTAAAAAAGAGTATGTTTTCCATAGTCTGGTGTCATCACTTCGCTTCAATGTTCTCAGTCTCTGACCTACAGACAGTAGTAGTGAGACCTCCATCTCCTCCCGTCAATGATTAGCAAGATATGCAGCACTCGATAGCTCATTCTACAACTTGCCTACTGCTTCCTATTTCTTCAATAATGAAGACTCTTTCTATTCGCGGTACAAAATCTAGAAAAGCTCGCAAGAGTCGTCGTGTCTATGACTTTGACTTTAACTTCCTCTCGCGCTACTTTCACATGCCACAGAAGGAAGCAGCAGCAGTACTAAATGTCTCTGTTATCACGATTAAACGCAACTGCAAGCACTATGGCTTCAAGTGGCCCTACCGAGCTAACAAGTACAAAAGCCGCTCTGAAGTAGTGCTTTCCGAAAAGGCCAGAGCCTTCCACGAGTTGCCACTCGAGTGTATGAAGAAACAGAATGATACGGAGTTGCAGCAGTCAAGCGAATGTGATACCGACACGGAGAGCAACGAGGATGACGACGTGACTACGAATTATTGTGAAATTCTCTTTATGCTCAAAGCTTCGCAGTAATTGTATTTGTATGTTAAGTAGTGACAGAGTTGTGTGTACTTTTTATCAAATCCAGATACTATTTATTATATGATTTCGTTATTAAACATTAAACCAAGTGTTAAACTTGATTCCCGCCACAGATGCAGGCACCACAATCTGCACTACCTCTAAAGAGTCAGTAAAGATTTTCTTCACGAGATTCGTGGTAAACAGCAGTTCTGCTAACTCTTTTATATCTAGAGCATCCAACTCATAACAATGAGATCTTTGATTCCTAGCGAATTCATAAAACCTTTCGCAGGTTCTACCACGACTTATTTTCGAATTTGACATCATCATCGAACCACGTTGCTCATAACATACCAATGCCAAACTACTTTGTCATTGATGCCCGTTTCAGCTTTAGCTCTGAGCTAGACAATTCCCTTTCGACTTCTCATCAAGACTTCGAAGCTCAACAACCAAGAACCAAGTCTGCTTGGAGAAAACTATCTCGAACACGCAGTGGTTCAATCTCAATCGAGTCTTTCAATACTGTTCCAGTATCTCCAGTAAATCGATTTGCTCATTCTATGGGTATCGAACGCACAAAATACAAACCCAAAAGTATCTGGAGGCGTTATACTCCGCCAGCAACGTCAACTAGTGTCCATGGTTATCAAAAAGATGATCCATCGAGTTTATCATATGCAGCAAAGTCGAATCGACGAAGTGCATGGCGTCGATTTACAGAGAATGTGGACAAGTGTCTTTACCGCATGATGAGCAAGTTTTACAAATAAGGTCGATGTCTTGAAGTCAATTACAAAAATGTTTATAAAATCATAGTAGCATTAATATTTAGACTACTAATACTGAGTGTAAACATATTACTATTTTCAAAGTCAGCTACACGACTCTTCTCGTCACACTCCTATGCGTTCCATCTCAGGAATACGAGAGACACTACGACAAAAAAGTACTTGAGCTGCAACTTCAATGTCAAGCCGTGCTTTCTTTTCTCGCATTAATTGTCCATAACTCGTAAAAGCTTCTTGAAATGGAGTAGAAACGGCACTGATACTAAGATATTTTTTTGCCAAACGAGCAAGAGACGGAAAAAGACGCTGATATCTACTCCACCATTCAAGCGGATCATGCTCACTTTCATTCGTGGCTGGCACCGGTGGAGAGTCCAAATATTGTTGTACCTGAATTTTGACTCTTTCCAGCTCGCTAGCAGGCTCTTCGAAGGGAAAAAAATCATGAAGCAAAGTCACTGCTTTTTTAGCAAGCGAGCCACTTGATCGAGTAGCATTCTTTGCTCCTTGATGTTGTTTATCTGGGTCAAATATGTCGTCAGTAGTTGCAGCTGGCTGTACAAGCTCAATGTCGCTCTTGTCACTCACACCAAGGAGCGAATAAACTGCTTTGACTAATCCATCCTTCTCTGAACTTGGTAAAAATGCCAGCGACTTAAAACGAGGATCCAAGAGACACGACAAATACGGCGATGATGGAGCTTCGCCTGACAAACACAAGTTCATTTGCAGACTATGAATAATTGTGTGTCGAACTGTTGCGACGAGAGGATCTGAGACCCACGCCGCAGCATCTGTCAAGTGCTTTTTCAACGAGTGCAAAAGGGGATAAATGATCGACAAGCCGGGATATGTTTGCGGTGACACGTGCACTAAGCCTTCAATCGGTTCTAGTAATCGAGCAAGCTGCTTTAAGGATGTCCACTCTTCAGATGACAGCTCACAACAACTAAATCGAAGTTGCATGGGTCTGCGTGCAGGATTAATGTCACTATCAAGTTCCATCTTATACCGCTGTAACATTGACTCCAACTCAACAACTCGACACATCATTTGTGCAGTTGAATTCCAACGGTTGTCAAAGTCACAAATCACAGGCAACGATTCGCCATTGTTTCCATGAGTGGCATGAGTGGTCGAATTAGAAGTTGCATTCATTGTCGAATCCTCATCCACACCTTCTTTGACATTGTCAAGTTCATCGCCAAGCGTTGTGTGATCATTTTCATTCAGACTCACACTAACTCCATCAGCAGTGGCTGCCATCGATTTTTGAGACGAAGCAGTAGAAGCAGAATCTTCTTCGCCCATACTGCGCTGCAAAGCGAGAAAAATTTGGTACTCGGATGGATTTTGAATAAAGAAGGACACGTAATTTCGACATCGACGGGTCAACTCAGCGCACTGTTTCATACCACTGGACATAGCTGCTTCAATCTCTTCAACAAAGCAACTAACGACAGCTATACCAGGATATTCACTATGAATGGCGCTTGCCTCTACCTTAGCTTCATCTTGAGCTTGTGTGACGGTTCCCCGACTATCGCAATCATCATTTTGGAGCGTATTCGTCGTTGAAGCAAGGGGACGCATTGTAAGCGCTGCTACTTTTGACGCTGGAATTTCCCATTTATCCAGAACATCTCGAAGCAACGCGATTGTATTGACACGCTCATCCAATGGCAGTACATATACTTCTAAGACACAGTCACGACGTCGAAAGCCACGAGAAATCCAATGACCACTTACTGTGAGCACGTTTTGTCCAAACACAGAAGTCCAATTGTTTAGTGAAAGACTCAAGACTTCGACATCTGCCATCACTTCTTTCAAAATTTCACGTTGGGAATAATATAAATTTGCCAAAGCTAATTTAATTGTTTCTTCAGAAGGCAGTTTGGGACTAAATCCATTCATTCCAAATCCACTTGATCCTCCGTATCCAAAATTGAGACTTGACGTCGGCCATTCTGTCGAGCCTCCAAACAGCAACATACTTAACTCTGTTCCCATCTGTGTGACATTTAATGGTTCATATTGAGCAATCAAATACTTTAACAATCGGTGTGTCAAGATCTTCTGATTTGCTGTGTTCAACGTCGTTCCTGTGCTATTAATCGCTAGATTAGTCGTCCCATTTGTACTGGAGCCATGTCGTCGGCCACGTACTCCATTTGATGCTGTTGTTGGGAGTGTCGTGTAATCAAATAATCGTTGATCTAGTCCCACACCCATTTCAATAGCTGCGTCCGAGAGCTCAAATCCCGCAGAAAATTGTAGTGTACTCGACGTTGCAGTATTGGACCCTGGCATTGTCACAAATCCTGAAGGATCGAATTCTGTTCCAGTCCCAGTCAATGCAGTCGTTCCAATAGCTGTTTGTTCTATTGGATCATGCTTCCGTTTCTTATTCACGATGCCTGCATTTACTGCTCGTCTTCTAGCTGTACGAAGCTCAAGCAATTGGTGTCTTTGCTTTCCAATTGAATCACCAGCATACAAATTCTCCTGTATCACTGTCGTATCTAAAAGGCTTGTACCTCCTGAAGATGCTACAGAAGAACTAAATGCTGTCGTCGCTGCAGGAGACGCAATAGATTGAAAAGAACGACGATGAACTCCTCGAGGAAATTCATAGTCTGCTGCACACTTACCAGGCGCATACTTTTGATGTTTTTTCCTCAAGTGTCGATTCATAGTGCTAGTGCCTCCGGAGTACGCAAATCGTGTTGTCTGAGCAGGACAAAGCGTGCATATCACATACTTACCACTTGCATCCTTTACGAAATAGTCCCATATAAAGCTGGGCAACACCATGGCTGCCTCGGCTTTGCCACGCCCACGTCCGCGGCGACGATCCGTAGAAGCAGAGGCCACATCGACACATTCGGAAGCCTTGGACTGATCGTCTACGTCGGGCGGTTCGAGGATCAGCTCGGTGTCCATTCGTTGACCGAAATTGCCTAGAGAATGTATGAGTTTACGGTCCATACCGGGCTTTGCATTATTGACCAATTATGTGGATATTTAAACTATAATTGAATATCACTTGGCATTACTAAAACAAAGCGCCCAAATAGAATTTCAGGGGTCGACTCTTCTGTTTTACGCAATACCAATTAACATACTTTTTAGGGAGATTCGTGCCATGTTGGCATAATCTGCGCCATAATTGCGCAAGTAGGAAGCAATTTTCGTAATTCCTTTTAATTTACTGGTGCTGAGCTACCTTGGATTGACTTGATCCTTGCGGAATCTGCCCAAACACCATGATCCAAATGATCCGTACCAAAGATAGATGTTTGTCAGCGAATGAGACAATTTTCTACGATGGCGAAAAGCTAAATGCTGGGTCGGAGCCCTTGAGTACCTTGACGTGCTAGACTTCCACTAGTATAGAGGGCAGATCGAGCGTCATAACGTCGCTTCGTGAGCACTTGCTTAATCTACAAATCACCACACCTTGAAAAATCGCCTATGCTTATGGCAGTAGCGGCTGGAGAAACCGTAAACTCCATGATGTATGAAGCTTAATTACTTGAAGCTGGTGATAGTGACGAACAATATCGTACTCAGATCGCGCACTGGGTCAGAAATACACACCGTCCTACTCATCTAAAGGCATAACTAGCCAGCTTGAAGGTCCACTAGCGTTAAATCAAGCTTGACGTTGAAACGAGCATAGTACGACGCGGACGTTGAGGTCAAAATCTGTTTACTTCAACTTTTTGCATTTTACAGACCAGCTTGTCTCTGTGCCAGCATCCGACCAAGTATCACGATCATCGCAATGTATGTTCCCACTTACCAGTTGGAAACTCGCAGCGACAGGCGACCCAGCCTCTAATCAAGGAAGGAAGATAATGATCAAGTACGATCGTATACGGGGACAGCACATCGACAATCTTGCCAAAGTAGGACCTCAAACCAACAACCAGTTTCCCAAATGAGGGCATCTCATTCACTATTTTAGATAGTGGTAGTAGCCCTGTTTAGCCGTTGGCCTACCAAACGCTCTAATTTTCGCTCATTGAGCGGTGAAGGCGGAAATTGACCTTCTCGCGACTGGCTCTCGAAACCTCACTCGGCTGTAGCGGCACGTCGACTTCCTTTGCGAGTCTTGGCATGATTCCCAAAACAAGATGTGCCAGGTATCATATTCATTCTCTGATTTCCACCATCACACTCTCAGCGGCTCAGAATCCCGCTGTATATTTGAAGCATAAGTGTTTTAGCTACAGAAATTGTAAAGTCAATGATCTGCCGACAACATAGCTCTTCACGCCTGGCTGACTTTCAAGGTCGGTCTCGAGGTATGGCTTCTTTGAGCCCACAGTTAGAAAAAGATGTGTTGATATTCTTTTTTGGATTTGAAGACTATATCTCAATACATTCGATTCTACGATTGTGAACGGTAGGAAAGCTACATACAATATTTGTGTGTGTTTCGGTTGCTTTTGCATATAAGGCGTCGCGCATCCTGTGCATGACGCTTGATTTTAATAAGACAAATCGATGATTTTGCTACGAAGAGTAGCTGATATGATCTCATCAAGTATATTTATTCGACCACCCCTCCCCCACTTAGACCGCAACCACTTTGTAGCGGTGTCAAAAGCCCGGCGATTCTTAACCCCGTCAGTCCAAATGGGGTAACGCCTGCAGACGACGAACTGCGTTATTCAAAGCAAACATAATATGTGAGAGAAAGTGGCTCTAGCACCGCGGTCTCTTCACGCAAGTGTTTTAAATGATATGCTTCACCACGTGTCGTCTAAACATCTGTTTGCAAAATGCTAGTGGTGTACCAATATTCAACTTCGGCAAAACACGTTATCGAGGAGTAACCTGGTAATACCTCCGGTCATACTGTTGTTTACAACAGCGAGACGAGTCAACGCGCTCAGGGGGTTCACAAGCCACAAAGCCAAAACGACAATTAAAGCCCAGGCTGATGAGCTGTCAACACTGTATCGGAACTGACAGAGCGGCCAAAGATGCCATCATTCGCGGCAAAAGATTAATTTAATAACATATTTTGCACATTTGCGCCGACCCATTTATACATGTCGTGCCGCCAACACATAGCGCTTGCCGATCTATGTGGATTTTCTCTTATAAGGTACCGGCTATCGAAAGGAGTATTTCCAGCGGGGCTGCGGTAGCTCTTTGCTTTGAGGAAGCTTACTTAAGGGCGCCGACCTTCGCTCTATACTAGAACCAGTACGAATGTAGAGGATCACAATCAGCTTACCCAAAACCTTAACCAAAGGCAAATGTACTCTTCCGTTTAGAAATGGAGTTGTATTAATCTGTTTTATTCGCGGCAGAGCCGCCTATATCTATAATGTAGGTTTTTATAGAAATATCGTAAAACCTTATTAATATGTATAACAACTGGTAGTCCCGTCACGTAGTGGCTTCTTGTTACGATGTAGCCACACCATTGTGCGATAACACCGACTTGTAGAATTCACATCTTTGAACGGTCACACCATCTTGTGTGACCCACCGTTTCATACCAAGGTACGTGTAAATCCGTTTCACGAACTCCCCGCTGTAAAGATTACGACGCCCTCGATCAGGGAGCAGAGCCAGTAAGCGCAAGACAAACGTCGACAGTTATCTTCACATTGTGATTACTGATTTACACCGTCTATAGTCGCTTGCCCCGCTGGGCCACAACTCTTAAACATCTATGCGCGCTAACCTTCCTCTTATACTGAAAGCAAAACGGGCGTCCAAAGTCGCTCCACGTAGCATTTTCTCAATGCATATCTTAAGGAGCACTGCCTACAGTAGCGATTAAGAGAAACCTTCCTGATGTATGTACTTTATAACCTCAAGCTGACAGTAGTGAGAATGCTATCGTACTCAGTTTGCATGCTATGTAAAGAAAAAGCGCGCCGTCCCACCCGCTTGAAGGTTTGACAAGTCGGCTTCAGTGAAGGGGAAGTCTTGCTAGCGTCAGCTCATTCTTGATATTGCAAGGTACAAAGCATGATACGGACGTCGAGATAAAAACGCATTATAGCCCTGATTTGCTATTACACACCCGCTCGTCTCCATGAGACAGATGTTTCAGCTACAGACCAAACATAATACTCATCACAATGTTGACACCCATATATGAGTAGGAAGCGACACGCAACCGTGTCTCTTCTCATAGAGAAATGAAGCCAAGGATATGCACGTTCGTAATCGGTCAAAGGTATAAGGTAGTCTTGCCGAAATGGGACTCCAAATTCACACATTTCCCAAAATGTATTCCTTATGATTCACCATATAATGATAATTTCAATGGTATCACCACCATCTCGCCACGCGCTTTATATACAAGTCGACTACCCAGCGAGTAATGCAATCGTATCGCTTTTTCGGCTGTAGCGACACATCGGCTCTCGTTTTAAAAAATGATAACAATTTTATTTTTGAACTTTAATTTATATATGTTTACATTGATCGTCTTGGTTTGTTTCCAGAGATAGATGAGCTAGATCTTGAATTCTTTTTTGGGCTTCGCCATTGCACAGCCCGGCTTGGGGCAGCAGCCCAGAATGGCGTAGCTGTTTTGAAGCGTAGGTTGGCTCAGCTACAGGGGGATGGTAGGGGCACTGCTCTGTCGACAAAGAAGCTTTCCACGTTTGAATGGCTTGTAAAATCAAAATTGTGAGATTGCCTCAGGAAGCCAGCGCAAAACACAAGATGTGTTTGCGCTCTATTTTAAGCTTAACGATTATCACTCAATCCCTTCTTAGCTCCGATTGTATATTGTCCAATGAGCGCGGTCGCAACTTGGTCTTGAAGATCTTAGATTCTGCACATGGTAGGTGTTTCGCCTGTCTCTGGCATCGGCATGTTGCATATCCTGGCACTCAGCAATAACGTCGCACCCTACGCATGACGCTCAATTCCATCGCGAGAATAGCATAAGTTGATACGAAATGTTGCCGGGCTGATATCAACAATTCAGTTTTATCGAGCGCTCCTCCACCCTCTGAGACCGGAGCCACGTTGTAGCGGTGTCAAAAGGATCCGACAGTTTACTAAGCTTTCCACGCAAAACAGGGCAAAGCTTGTAAAGGTATGTTCTGCATTAGTCACCGCAAGATAAATGTGCGAGATTGACTCGCCTCAGAGCCACGATTTCTACATGCAAATGGTTTAGAGTAAAATCATCTATTTATGGACAGTCTGTGGCTGACGTATCCAATCTAGCGCTGAGCACCTTGAAAGATGTTACTTAATCTATCGTTATAAAGCCCGGATCTCTATCCGATACGATGCCTTTCGGTTAGCTGTGTGGTCAGAATACTTCGTCGTGGAAACTATAGCTGACCCTCATTGGTTACAGTTCTGCCGACAGCAGCGAGATGTAACTAGACGATTAAGCTTAACCGGGTCCTAAGACCATCCCTGTTGGCAAAACCAGCCTCGGGGTAATCGTTGCGGTGAAAGGTGGATTTCTGTCTCATATCTTCAGTTGATATCGAGGGCACGGAATGCCGCCGATCATGGTCTTCGCGGCATTAACGCTCGATAAATCGGTGTTTGTTCCAAAAATCGTGGCACTATATAGCTTATCAAACATATACAATCCATCATTTGCCATTAGCATTTCTGACACAAAAAGCGAATGCCAAATGAGTAAATCCACTCTCTCTCTCACCAGACAAGCATTGCATTTTGCACATCGGAAGCGTCAATGACGTCAGATTATTCTAATGATGAAAGCCACTGTCGTGTGAGGCAATATTGGGTTGAAAATCAAGTCAAATCATGACACGCACTCGCTTATCTCGACGGTAAAAGTTGAGGTGGATGTTTCAGCGCCATATCGTGACATCCCTTTATAATTGAGTCGATATGTAAGATCCCTGAGATTTGCTGTCCAACACCTACTTAGCAAGTGTTCTCTATGGGGCAGATACACCCATTACAGACGAGTTCGACCCTCTTTTCGATACCAAACATGCAATTTCGGAGACCGCCTCATCTTACAAGTACTTGCGCATATCCCGTTGAGATCACTCCCTAAGAGCCTCTACCGAAGGTAATGATGGAAAATGTATAAACCCTAGTACTATCCCGGACACAATTGGCTAATCTTTCCCGTCATTATCCCGTGGAGCTTCATTACCGACAGTGGGTTCGTCACACGGCAGTGCTGACCGAGCATTGCCGTTTCTTTATGACAAGACTATTCACCCATCTTTACTTCATAGTCTGACTTCGACTCGTGGCTTGCAGTCTCTCCTCAAAGCTATCGGCTCTGGCACGGAAGACTGCGATACCCATCCAATTTTACTCTTCACTGTGCTCTGAAATATAAGACAAACCTTTCATAGCTGCTCTCTAACACCCTGCCAAACGCACCCCGAGACTACTGCATACTGTCACTTCCGCCTTCCGCTCCATGCTGAGGCACATTGCTATCAACTTTGAAAGATTCTCATGTTAAACACGTATCCTATCGCAGCTTCATGTTAGCACCAAAAGCACTTCTAGCGTCTGGTGACTCACCAGAATCTTCCAGTCGACCCATGGAAAATGGCACAACGGTTTTGCCATATAAAGAATGAGATCGCATCTCAAATCCAACTTTTGAGACAAAAATCCACGCTGTTCAAGTATTGAAATATAACTTATGCGTAACATTATTTTTAAAAATTTTCAAAACGTACGGATATCGCTTCCGTATTTGGCACCTTTAATACCTCCACGTAGCTAGCGCAGTTTTTACTGTCGCATGTCATACTCGACGATAAGACGCTCCAGAATCGATCGGATTTCTTACAGTTTCACAAAGCTTGGGTCGTCGATCTCAACAACCAACAACCCCCCCCACCTCTCTCAAACAAGTTCGCACTATTTTGACGCCACAACCCCCCACAATGCAGTCGAAACGAGGTCATTATATATCAGTAGGCCGCCCTACGCCCACTATTCCCCTCGGATTGTTATTCAAACGATCCTTCCTGGAGGCCCCAAGCACCCTACCGTGTTGGGCGGCACAGACGGTGCCGATGTTTTGTAATAGCGCAGATGAAATATTACTGCAGAGCTGCTTAACAGCTAAGAGCCCTAACGCATGGTTCAGGTCCATCGCCTCTAATGTGCTCTTAGGGTCTCAATTTTTATTAATCTATACGGCCCTCACGGCATTAAAGTTGCACTTCATATTGAATGCGGAGGTAGGGTGAACGTGATAAGTCTCGGAGCGTATCGCAACCGTTTGGAGGCCCTTCATGATCATTGGGACCGTTATTTGTCTCCAATTGATAGTCAGACATCATAACGGAATGAATTAACACCCGGACATAGCATGCCAAATTTCGCCTCCTTTAGTGAATGGACAAATATTTTGAACGCACACAATTCGAAAGGCAAGGCGGTGCAATCATCGTGGGTGATTGGACCGCCTT